CGGAGAAACTGACGGAAGCAAAGCACAGAGGGATGGACACAGGTTTCTTCAGGAAGGAAGAGATTCTTTATTGGATCACCGATCGGGACTCAGAGGGACTAATGTCACCAAAAATACAGCAAGTTCTGAGCCCTGAACAATAGTGCAGGCTCCCTATATAGGCACATAACTCCTCCCATATTAAGCTCCACCCGCACATTCTCTTGACCAATCATTACAAATAAGAATTAACTTCCTGCTTGACCGCATGGCTTGTCCAGCACAATGGAGGAGGGGAATACTACATCCTGTATTCTTGCACATGCTCCGTACACTACTGATCGTATCTTGCCTCGTGCAACCAACTGATCGATACGTCAGCATATGCACGTACACATGCCACGTGGTAATCTCGGCCTACTAAATTTATTTTTACCGAGATTCCACCACAATACTTACTTCTAGAATCGATGGTCTCAGATATCCAGAAGATGATATTAATAATGAAAAGAAAAGAAAAACAGGACAGTCTTCATGGCTGCACTGTCTGTCTTGAATGTTCTGAATGAATCAAGTGAAAAGGACAGAATAAGAGTGATGTCATCTGTAGCATCATGACATCATAACTACTGCACAAAGCAGATAATTAATGAAGTCACAATGCAAGGATAGAGGAATTAAGGGGTTTAACCCTTTCATGACCATGGCCTTTCCAAGATTCCGTGTTTGTGACAGAGCTTTCTAGAACCTTTTCTATATGTTAGTTCTACTGTAACTTATCTGTTTCTATTTACATGAACCCACACAGTTTATATATCCTTTTTTAATTATTATTTTTTTTTAAATTTGACAATTTTTATTGTTTTGTCATTCTGCAAAAACGCAAATAACCTAGGGAGTACATTAGAGAGAGGTGGGGAGGGGAACGATTATGTTCGAAACATTCAGACTTTTACAGGTTTTGTGTTATTGAAGGCATGTCAGTCTGCGATACCTTGCTCAGTACAGAACAGACAGCTGAGCGCCAGGCAGTCTGAGATAGACTTTTAAAGGCTTTGGTATCTGAGACATGTCAATCTGCTTCACATTACTTATTACTTAACATACATCTGAGCGTCCGGCAGACCGATACAACAGTTCTGTTATTAGTAGGTTTCCTAGTTGACATATTGCTGTACAGGGTATTTCAGTATTATATGGTGGTAATTACATTGCACCTCAGGCAGGCGCTGTTCGTGTTCTTGTTGCACCGTTTCAATAGCATAGGGGTACAGGAAAAAAAAAGGGGTTGGGTGCAGTTAAGTTAGCGTTGCTCATATTTTTATAGCGCTATTGTATTTCGGTTTCCCAATGTGATGTTACTTGGTGAAATTCTATTATATCACAAATTATATTCTTAATGGGAGACACGGGACCGGAGGGCTGGTGCATGGGTCATGGGCTCCTTGTGTGTAGTGCCTACATCTAGATAACCTGGAGTCCTGGTTCCGTCGTTTGGATAGCTATACTATTTCAGTACATTGCTGTGTGGGCCTTTGTGTTGGCTCCGGTCTGCTGGGTCTGGGTAGGCCTATTCGCCCGATCGCCCTGCATTGTGTTAGTTACTCGGAGCGCTAATGGGGGGTTTCATTATAAACTCTTCCCATGTGTCCCAAGCTATTTCCCAATATTGTCTGTACTTTGGGTGTCGCTTGTTGGGGGGAAGGAGGGGGTGTTTTGTTGCCTTACAGTGGTTTCATAGTGGTGTGTTTGGTTTACGTTCTGCATGCACATCGCTATGGCAGGTACCTTTTGTGAGTACCAGTTTTGTGCTGTTATGTTGAGTGCCACTATAAGTATGTGGAAGATGAGATATCTGTCTGGTTTCGGGATGGAAGCTGGGAAGTCAAATAGGACATAGGTTTCTCCCTGTGCTATCTTTGATAAGGATAGCTATGTTGAAAAGACAAAGCAAGAAGGTTTCCCTCTGATGAGCTGTGGGCGAAACTCGTGCGTCAGGGGTCCTCAGCGATCTGAGACTTAATATTTATTTAACTTGTATCTTTGATCAGTAACCATTTATTAAGCGTCTCAGATCCTGAGTTTAATCTACCGCTATCATTAGTTGTTTCTTTCGGGCCAACTGGGACATATGTTCCTATTACCATGTACCTAGCTATACTACTAGACAGTTAGATTTTACAAGCTTAAATGTAACAGCTTTCTTCCCCCTTTTATTAATAGCGGAGAAGCATTTTATATGCACAGAGGTTGTATTGTTATTTTGGCTTATCATATACCGATCTAAGTATTTAGACAGACATATTCTTTGTCACGACTTTACGCTACAATTGTGAATTGCAAAACGGTGTTTTGCACACATCATTAGGTAAAGGTCTTTTACGAATCTCTACCGACATTTATCAGGCTAGCTTTCTATAATCTTCTCTCTGATCAGCAACTAGCTTTGTTACATCGTTTAAATACCATCACGTTTGTCTTTTATATCTAGACACTGATTTAAGAGTCTGTATAGCTAATGCTACTTTACACAGCCACTGTGGATTGCAAAACCTGGTTTTGCACATACTACTAGGTGTAGGTCCCAGAAAATTTATGAACAGGACCTCCAATTTATTTGTACATGCTTTAGTTGTTTATCAGAACTAAGTTCTATATACTTTAGTTGTTTATCTATTATGTATATCCTTTAGTTGATATAGATTCATTAAACTGTCTACACCACAGTTTATAAGTTTAGTGGGTTGCAAAACTATTTTTTGCATACATCACTAGATTAAGGTCTCTGGATACTTTAGAACAGAACATCCTTTTTCAACTTTGTTTGTGTATATACCTTAGTTGGTTATTTTTGGAGCATTACTCCCACTATGGACACTCATAATAGATTTTAGGATTACTATTGAAGGTTATATTTTTATTGCATTTACGGCACTAATTTTGTCTTTTTTTATCACTACTAGGATAGCTATGTCCCTCCAAAAGTTTGTCAGATGTGGGCAATTCCACCAGATGTGTGACATATTCAGGACATAATTGAAAACGAGAGAAATCTCAATGTAGCTTTCCTGGTAAAATATTTTATAAATAAATAAATAATATTCCCTATGCCAGTTTTACATCTCCAGCAGCGTTTGAAACCAACTTCACACAGAAAACGGACCCCCACAGCACAGCCTAAAGCAATAAAACTTTGGCTAACAGTCAGACCACACTGAATTTACTATTTTCACTGCTGGCTACAATCCTCATAGGCAATTTATCCTATTATATTGTAACTTTACAATTAAAGTAATGTTTATACCAGATCATTTAACCATTCCTGGAACCATCCAATAAAAATAGTTCTACCAGATTTTACATTTGCCGAATTTTAAATTTCCTAAATAAGATTCACTATCTTATTTCAGAACAAGTCAATACATCTGGATAAAAATATCAGTATGCTAACACACGGCAAATTTTGCAGTTAATATATTATCTTTATTCCACCTGCAGGAATGGAATTTTGTTAACCATACTAAGATTTCTAATGATTAAAATCTGACCAGATTTCTCCAGATATATATTCCTGCTATTAGTAAAATGTAAATTAATTTAATTAAATAAAACCAGTATAATTATAAGGTTGTAGATTTTCTTATCAGATGTGTAGATCTGTCCTAGGAGTTGAATGCAAGTATGATGTATAGAGAATTGTATGGACAGTAGAAAAGTTTTCAGAGTTCTGAAGTTGTGTTAATTTGGAAAAGTAATAGTAAAAATTAAGTGTCCGGAAAGTGTTGTTTCTTGACTATAGTCCAAGTGTTTCAAAGAGAAAAGTTTGAATGTAGTTCAAAGAGTATGAGTGTCCCAAAGAGCTTAGTGTTTGAATGTCTGAGTGTCCGAATCTTTGAATGTCCCTCTCTTTCCTTTGTCCTTACTTTTTAAAGGGCCAAACTCTCTGCACGTCACTAATTGATAGGACCAATAGGGGACTGTAGGTATGTCTTCCCTACAGACTATCATCTAGATTTTGGTCAGTAGATGGCGCAATTACATCACCAAACTTTCTTGTCATAGGGTCCATTTGCCTTTTTGCATAATGGGTTAACTGAAATTAGTGATGAGTTTTACATCATTTCCAGCTATCTTTATATCTGCTATAAATCGTAGGACACGTCACTTCAAAGCATTATATTTGGTTTTTCCAGTCTTATCCCAGACTTCATGTCTGTAATTTCAATCGTAATTTTAGAATTGACACACCCTAACCTTAATTTCACCCTTTTTCTTACAATGGGACTTTGTAAGATTTTGTTTGTTTTTAAAGTAAAACTAATTACTTAGTGTTATCTGTCATTGGTGTCTGGTTCTTTTGTGAAGCGGAGTTTAAGATTAATTCACTAACATTATTAAATAATATGATTTTTCTTCATGAATATTTATCCATGAATGGTCTATATTAACATGATACTAATTATATGTGATTAATAAGATAATTGTATTATAAGTGGATTGTGTGTATATATAATTATGTATACATTTGTCTCTGGGTTAGTATTCCACCCCCCATCCTTGCCGTTATCACTTGTCTTGTTTACATAACGCATTTCTTAGCTCAGACTTGAATGAATAGAGTGATAGAAACAAATGTTATGTCTTTCTTAGCCTTGTAATACAAAAATGGAGTCACCTATGTTCTGAGTGTGACTGGCAATAGACACTTTTAATTTCTGTCTTAACACAAAATGTCTGCCGATATAAATATACTGACAAATTGAAGTTCAAAATATATGAACTGGAAAAATTCTCTAAGTCAGCAATGCTTTCAAGTCTGCTACTCTAACCTTAAATTTGAAATTCCCTTGAAAATCTCACTTTAGTGAATAACACGGTGAGTATTCTTATTCTTCCATATTATCACCTTTCTGGTTTTACCAAAGGCATAGGTAAGTATATCTGTTTTCCACATATAACTGCCTTTTCTAGCTCTCTGACAAATTCAGATGATGTAACACAGCGTTCTGCAAACTCTGGTCCTTCAGATGTTGCTGAACTACAACTCCCATGATTCTTTGAATGGCATAAGGGGCAAATAATCATGGGAGTTGTAGTTCAGCAACATCTAGAGGGTCAGAGTTTGGAAAATCCTGCGTAGCAGATACCTGCTTCATGAAACGTTCAATATAAAAATACATAAGACTGTACAGAAATTTTTCACTAGTGCCACTCAGAAATGGAACTTTATTTATTTGCAAGGCTGCAGTGGCTGGATCCATGCCTCAATCACTTAAAGGGACTTTCCAGTGCCAGGAAAACAATCAGTTTTCCTGGCACTGCAGGTCCCCTCTCCCTCCCACCTCCCATCCCCGGTTGACGAGGGACATAGTCGCTGCTTCTTCCTCCGCCCATGCTCCTCCTCTTCATCACGTCAGCCGGCTGGGGGGGACCTAATGCACATTAGACCTCCCCCTAGGAAAGAATTGAAAATGCTTTTCAGTGCTTTCCTATGGGGATTTTAGCGACACTGATGGTCCTCATACAGCGTGAGGATATCCAGCGAAGCTATAGCACAGAAAACCTGTGCTATGAGCCAGGAAGTGCCCTCTAGTGGCTGTCTAGTAGACAGCCACTAGAGAAAGGAGTTAACCCTGCAAAGTAATTATTGCAGTTTATAAAAACTGCAATAATTACACATGCAGGGTGTGACAGAAAGCAAGGAATTGTGCTGGAAGGAACCTATATACCTCCCCAGATTTTGCAAGGTTCTTACTTTGTGTAATTAGCCCCAGGGAAATGTGTTATGTTCTAATGAATGTTGCACTTAAAATATGTGTATATTTGGGCCCTGAGGTGGAGCACCTGGAGAGTAGGGTGGGCCAGTGCTCCACTCCACATTTTGGAAGTTGCTTGGTGAGAAGTCCAGTTCTGGAGTTTGAATCCTAATCTAACTCACCTGAAAAGGATTGTCAATTACCAGTGCTATTAAGTACTCCCCTGCCAAGGAAGAAGGGAGATTGTGTTTGGTTTCTGTGAGTGGAAACAGAGAGCTGAAAACCCTGAAGCAGTAAGGCTGTTTATGTTTATGTTTATGTTTATGTTGGGAAATGGACAAGCCATCCAACCCAGTTAGCTGATTATTTTGTTTAGTTAGTGCTCAGAAGAGCAAGGCTTTTGTTTGATATATTTTTGTTACCTTTATACCTTACTGTGCATTTATTTTGGAACCTCAATAAAAGAGCAAGTCAGTTTACCTCATCCAGCGTGTGAAGTGTCTCTAAAGCCTGAAAAGACTGTGTGTAACACCCCAATCCCAGGACAAGGTACCAAGGGAAAGGAGTACTTTTGTCACATATGGTGGAGAATGCGGGCAGCACACGGCAAAGTCTGTAAGTAGGGAGAAAGAGACTGCTGAGAAAATGGAGGATGTCATGAAGGCTTTGCTCCAGTCCACTGCTGTACAGCAAGAGACAAACAGGAGGACTGCAGAGACTAATGCAATACAGCAAGAGAGCATTTCAATACTGCAGCAGCTTGTACTGGCTCAAAAGGAAAATACAGATGCTTTATTCAAGCAAGTTGAAGCAACACAGGCAGCAGCGCATCAAGTGCTCAGAGAGGAGCAGCAGCGTGCCACATGTGTCATACAGCAGGAGATCCAGAGTCTATCACAAAGGCTGGCCAGGGATGCCACAGACTTACCACAATGTCCAAAGGTGATCAGAGTGAGTCACTACTTGCAAAAGATGGTATCCACAGATGATGTAGAGGCCTATCTGATGGCATTTGAGCGAACCGCTGAGCGAGAAGGTTGGCCTGAAGCGGAATGGGCAAGTCTGCTAGCACCGTTTCTTACTGGTGAATCCCAGAAAGCATACTATGATCTGGAACCAGCGGAAGCCAGTGACTACAAGAAGCTGAAGGCAGAAATACTGGCACGCCTGGGGGTGACAACAGCCGTCCGTGCCCAGAGATTTCATTCATGGACTTACAGCCTGGATAAAGCGATTCGTTCCCAGATGTTTGACTTGATACACCTTGCCAGAAAATGGTTGCAGCCAGAGATCAACTCACCCAGCCGCATTGTGGAGCAACTGGTGATGGAAAGATTCCTAAGAGGCTTACCTATTGGGCTTCGTCGGTGGGTCAGCCAGAGCAATCCCCAAACAGCTGACCAATTGGTTGAATTGGTTGAACGGTATATAGCAGCGGGAGAACTGCTTCAACCTCCTGGCCAAGAGAGACCCAAGAATCCGAAAACCTACAACCCCAGCAAATCTGGTAAGACTGTTCCAGGGAAAAGGGGGTCTTTTGATGAGAGAACAGGGTCTTATTACCCAAGAGACTATGTTAAAAGAGAAAAAGACTTTGGGAGGTGGGAAGAGCCTACAAATTAATCAAAAAGTACTAATTATGATATAAAATGCTTTAAATGCAGAAACTTTGGACATATTGCAAAAGACTGTCCTGAAAATGTTGAACCAATGGAGTGTAATTTTGGTAATAATTGGGAAGGAATTGCACTCTATTCGCAGGTTGTATGTTCTGTGAAAAAAAATGGTTATTTGAATAGTCACCCTGGGTGTACCGTGAATGTGGAGGGAAAAAATATACAGGCATTGCTAGATTCAGGGAGTATGGTTACCCTTCTAGACCAATCCTTATTACAGGATACTCATATTGTTTACTCTGGAAAAGTTGATATTGCTTGTGTACATGGGGATATACATAACTACCCTACTGCAGATATACTTGTTAAAACCCAGTGTGGTACTGTAAACTGCAGAGTGGGGCTGGTACCAAAACTGGCACATGAGATGATTATTGGAAGGGATTTTCCCCATTTTCTAGACCTATGGGCATGTTTTGAAAACCCATCAGGTGAACAGAATGATGAATTTCCTTTTGCAGATACTCTGGCAGATGAGAGAGATCATGATGATGAGCCTAACAGTATGCAGCACTCCCCTATAAAAACATTAGTTGGTGAAAACCCAGAACAAACTAATGCGGGACCTTCTAGAAGCTCTGAACCAGATATAGAGTTAGTTGATTTAGAGGTTAGGCCTGGTAACTTCAGAAGTGCACAGTGGTCTGACCCAACATTATTGGTAGCCAGGAATAATATTTCTATAAGGAATGGATCCCCTGTCAATCCAGGGAATTCTCTTACTTACCCTTATTTTGAAGTGGATAATGATCTGTTGTACAGAGTTGAGAAAAAAGAGTCCGTTATTACAGAGCAGCTGTTAGTACCACAAGCCTATTGGCGCACTGTGTTAAACCTTGCACATAGCCATGTTTTGGGGGGTCACCTAGGGGTTGATAAAACAAGAGAGCGTGTTTTGAGGAGATTTTACTGGCCTGGAGTAATCGCAGCTATCAAAAACTACTGTTCGTCATGCCCTGAATGTCAGGTCACTGTGCCCTTTACGGCTTACCGTAGCCCTTTAGTACCCTTGCCTATTATTGAAGTGCCTTTTGAACGTATTGCTATGGATTTTGTGGGTCCTCTGGTGAAATCCAGTAGGGGGCATCAGTATATATTAGTAGTACTAGACTATGCTACCCGTTACCCTGAGGCAATACCTATGCGCACAACCTCAGCAAAGTCCATTGCTAAAGAGTTAATGATGATGTTTAGCCGGGTTGGGATTCCCAAGGAGATCCTATCAGATCAGGGTACTCCATTCATGTCCAAGGTTACAAAGGAACTCTGCAAGCTCCTTCACATTAGACACCTCAAAACCTCTGTTTATCACCCACAAACCGATGGTTTGGTTGAGCGATTTAATAAAACCTTAAAGGCTATGCTGCGCAAAGTAATTGATAAAGATGGGAAAAACTGGGACTTTCTATTGCCCTATTTAATGTTTGCCATTAGAGAAGTACCCCAAGCTTCCACGGGTTTCTCACCTTTTGAATTATTATATGGCAGACACCCCAGGGGATTACTTGACATAGCAAAGGAAACTTGGGAACAAGAAGCAAACCCACATCGCAGTGTAATAGAACACATAACTCAGATGCAGGAACGTATTGAAGCCATTATGCCAATAGTCAGAGAACACATGCAAAAGGCTCAACAAAATCAGCAGAATAGCTATAATAAGGATGCTAGAATTCGAGTATTTCAACCAGGAGACAGAGTACTAGTCTTGGTTCCCACAGTAGAGAACAAATTCCTGGCAACTTGGCATGGGCCATATGAGATTATTGAAAGAGTGGGAGAGGTAAATTATAAAGTAAGGCAACCAGGTAGAAGAAAGGAAGTGCAAATATACCATGTCAATTTGCTAAAACCATGGAAAGAAAGGGAAATTCTGGTTACTACAGAGGCTTCAACCTTCCCTGATAAGTGTAATATTGACCCCGAAGTAAATATCTCAGAGACCCTGTCAATACACCAGACAAGGGAAGTTAAGGAGTTTATTAGATTAAATAAAGAGGTATTCTCCCCAGTCCCAGGAAGGACTAGCGTGATTAAACATGACATTTTCACAGAACCAGGAAAAAGGGTCAATCTCAAACCATACAGAATACCCGAGGCTCGTAGAAAAGCTATCAGAGCAGAGGTTAAGAAAATGTTAGATCTTGGAGTCATTGAGGAGTCACAAAGTGACTGGAGCAGTCCAATTGTGCTGGTACCAAAGCCTAATACAGTACGGTTTTGTAATGATTATCGCAAGCTGAATGCTATTTCTAAGTTTGATGCATACCCCATGCCTAGAGTTGATGAGCTAGTAGAACGACTTGGGAGAGCTCGGTACCTCACTACACTAGATTTAACCAAAGGTTATTGGCAAGTACCACTCACAGAGCGAGCAAAAGAAAAGACAGCATTTTCTACTCCTGACGGCCTATTTCAGTACAGAGTTTTGCCTTTCGGCTTGCATGGTGCCCCTGCCACATTCCAAAGAATGATGGACAGAATACTAAAGCCGCATGTGCGCTATGCAGCTGCATACTTGGATGATGTTGTAGTACACAGTGAGGATTGGGAATCTCACCTTCCAAAAGTACAGGCTGTCCTTAACTCAATACAAAATGCTGGCTTAACTGCTAACCCTAGTAAGTGTACGATTGGCCTAGAGGAAGCAAAATATTTGGGCTACTCTATTGGTAGGGGACTAGTGAAACCCCAAGTTGCTAAAATTGAAGCCATACGAAATTGGCCGAGACCACTGACTAAGAAACAGGTGAGAACATTTCTTGGCCTCATTGGCTATTACAGGAGATTTATATCCAATTTTGCTACAATTGGAAGCCCATTAAATGACCTTACTAAAGCTAATGCTCCAGTAGTGGTAAAATGGTCCCCAGAGACGGAACAAGCATTCAGAAAGCTTAAAGAAGCCATTTGTGCCCAACCAGTGTTGGTAACACCTGATTTTTCTAAAGAATTTATTTTACAGACGGATGCATCTGATGTAGGACTAGGTGGTGTTCTCTCTCAAGAAATTCAGGGTGAGGAGCACCCCATATTATATTTAAGCAGGAAGCTTAATCCCCAGGAAAGAAACTATTCCATTGTTGAGAAGGAGTGTCTGGCTATAAAGTGGGCGGTAGACACACTTAAGTACTATCTCTTGGGACGAAAATTCAGACTAGTGACAGACCATGCACCCCTTACTTGGATGAGCCAAAACAGGGAGAAAAATAGTAGAGTAACCCGCTGGTTCCTTAGCTTGCAACCCTATAATTTCTCCATTGAGCATAGGGCTGGGAGTAAACAGGGAAATGCAGATGGTCTTTCGCGGATGCACTCTCTAATGTCCATGGTCGCTCGACCCTATAGGTCTGAGCTGGGGGGGAGGATGTGTGACAGAAAGCAAGGAATTGTGCTGGAAGGAACCTATATACCTCCCCAGATTTTGCAAGGTTCTTACTTTGTGTAATTAGCCCCAGGGAAATGTGTTATGTTCTAATGAATGTTGCACTTTAAATATGTGTATATTTGGGCCCTGGGGTGGAGCACCTGGAGAGTAGGGTGGGCCAGTGCTCCACTCCACATTTTGGAAGTTGCTTGGTGAGAAGTCCAGTTCTGGAGTTTGAATCCTAATCTAACTCACCTGAAAGGGATTGTCAATTACCAGTGCTATTAAGTACTCCCCTGCCAAAGAAGAAGGGAGATTGTGTTTGGTTTCTGTGAATGGAAACAGAGAGCTGAAAACCCTGAAGCAGTAAGGCTGTTTATGTTTATGTTGGGAAATGGACAAGCCATCCAACCCAGTTAGCTGATTATTTTGTTTAGTTAGTACTCAGAAGAGCAAGGCTTTTGTTTGATATATTTTTGTTACCTTTATACCTTACTGTGCATTTATGTTGGAACCTCAATAAAAGAGCAAGTCAGTTTACCTCATCCAGCGTGTGAAGTGTCTCTAAAGCCTGAAAAGACTGTGTGTAACACCCCAATCCCAGGACAAGGTACCAAGGGAAAGGAGTACTTTTGTCACAAGGGTTAAAAGGTGGTAGGAGTTGGCACCCAGACCACTACAATGGGCAGAAGTGGTTTGGGTGCCTGGAGTGTCCCTTTAAAGTTTTTTTTATAAAAAAAAAAAAAAAAAGTGAAAAAAACCTGCAAACGTGCTTCCTACTGTTTATAAAAGATCATTACAACAAGATCTAATTTAGGATACATGTACTGTATTCCCAATAGTATTCATAAAAAAAATTTAAAGAATTGAGCAAGTATGAATGTCCACTGGCAAATGTCCACAGCATTCTGAATTGGTCACTGCTTCTAAAGAAATATCGAAGTTTGGGTGGAAAATACAATGAGAAACTCTTGCCTAGTACCCAATGAAAGAAAAAAACCAACAACAAAGAGATTCAAAGAGTGTAATGTTTTTAATTTGTAAATGGATTTAATATGTTTTCATGTATTGTAACGGTTTGTACCCATTTTAGACATTAATATGAGGGGAAAAAGGAATGTCAGTGAATAGTGGTGTGCAGCTCAAAGCTGAATTTACATTTAACCCAGGTTACAGATATTACCAGACTACATAGGAATCAGTTGACTGTAACGTATATAACTTATGTTTAAATTGTTTGCTGAATTCATAGAGAAAATATTCTAAATATGTCTCTTGATAATTAAAAATACAAGAGAAACCAAACTGTCACATAGTCTGAAGATGAAAAGGTTCATAGAGCTTTCAGATTTGCTAAAGATAATATATGTATTTGTTTTACTCCCTGGGTCATGACCAAAACTAAGAAGTTTATGAACGACTAGTTTAATAAAATATAGCAAGAAAAAAAAGAAAGCAGCATATATTTCTTAAAATAGGAGGAAAATAACCTTTCTTTGCTTCACTGCACATCAAATTATAGGAGGAGATTGTACTGCCATCTGCTGTAAAATTAATGAAATGCACTTTGTGCTTCAGGAGGTGAGTAGTTGCACAACAGAATATCTAGTATAACTATAAATACAGTTGACTGAAAAGCCTTGAGGAATACAAGTGGCTATTACTGTTAGTAACACGTTAATGGATTAGCCTGCCCCTCAAGGCAAAACTAATATTTAAATTTATCTTTTAATTTAGAGGCTTGTTAAGTTTTTTTTTTTTCTCTTCACTGCAAAAACACCTATGCTATTATCTTCACTCAAATCCTCTATAACCAAACATTTATTAGCAAGACATTAATTTACAAATAAATAGCTTAGATATAGCTAAACAATGTTATACAAAATAAAACGCACATATGTGACATTACGCAAGATTTCTCAACAGATGATTCTTCTTCAGTCAAATTTTCATTGGAGTGGAAGTAAACTTTGTGGTCTTCTTCAGATGATGATAATTGGGAAGAATTTTCATCAGGAAATCCAGCTGAAGCGTCTGGGGCTGAATGAATCAAAAATAGAGTCAAAATTGAATGTTTATATGTGTTTTAATCAAAGGCAGTAGCCAAAAAGAGATGATCTATATATCTCTAGGAGGGTACTGACCTGTGGACGCTCGGTCTGCACTCTGCGCAGACAATCAGATCCATATATCACGCTATTCTCTGGGATAACTTCACAGGTGTCAACTTGGCAGCAGGCTCCAATGATGCAGCCACTGGTTAGAATAACGTTTCTACCTACATATGCTGGAATAATAGACATGAATAAATATTAGTAAGAGCTAGAAGTATAAAACCTGCACAAGAAAAACAACAAAGTACAACTAGTAGCTCTACTTTGCAAAGAGTCAAATAAAAGACACATTTTATTGACTGAGAAACAAAAATAATAAGAAAACATACACCATGGGTATATCTGGGACCTCTTCAGATCTTGCTGTTTGGTCAGCTCTACCTAGGTGGACAGGATTAGAGTGGTTCTTCATGTAAAAACAGATGGGTTCACGTGGAAATGGATGGTCTTAGCTCTAAAAGATTTTTTTTTCTGTGCATAGTCATATGTGGATCAGAAAACATTATATATATATATATATATATATATATATATATATATATATATATATATATATACACACACACACACTTATTTTTGTTAATTTTGTGCATTTTGTCATGTGTTGTTGTATTTGAGGTTGTATTACCTAATTTTAAGACCTGCTAAGGAACTGTAAAACAGTAGAATTCATAGAGGGTCTACTTTCTTTGACCATGACTGCACATATAAACTATGTATGGCTATACGTACCTTTCAACTGCGTTAATGACAAGTCACGTTAGAACAAATCGCACCCTTACTATGTTTACAGTAGCTGATTTTCCCAGCTGGGTACCAGACACATAAATGTGTTAAAGTACAGTAATGCAAACCTTTTGCTATAATGCAATTAAATACCCATAGTGGAAAATTGGCTCGTTCAAAGATCTGAATTAGGATCTGTATTCTGTTTGGATTCCATATGTAAAAAAAAAATAAAAAAAAATGACTTTACTAGAACATAAAAAATGAAAGACAAAGACTGGCTGTTAAAGGTACACTATAGGCACCCAGATTACTTCACCTTAATTAAATGACATGGGCGCCATATTCCTGTAGTTTTAACGCTGCAACTGAAAAAATTGCCGCTCTGCAAAATCGGAGACACAGGGAGCTCTACAGAAGTAGATTAGATGAACTTTTTTTTTTGTGACAGAGTTAATTTAAGCAGTCTTCATCTACCAAAGGGAGTAATGAAAATTATATTATGCTTGGTCAACCTGACTGCCTTATTTTTTTTGGTTTAGTGCCTACTAACTGTACAGGTTTCAGATCGTAATAGGTTTCCTTATAGAATATATTTTATAGAGGGCATTTGTGAGCTTGTTATCTGTTGAATGAAGGCAGGTGGCAATTTAAACAATATGGCATTAAATTACTCAACAAATGGCAACACGCATTTAATGTAAAAAACTCGGCGATATCTATTCACATTTTATTCTTGGCCAGTTTCCAAATTCTTTGCATTGAAAAGCTCAAACATTTGTCTACAGTCTACTTTCTATAAATGTGCATCTAAATCCGAATATTTCTTATCTGGCTTCCTCTTTGGTTTGAATTTCTAAAACAGAATGCAATATTAGACTATTGCAATGGCATTTCCTTTCCTCCCCAGTTTTGTGATGATAGCCTTTAGCTGGACGTTTACATATCCTTTCTAAGCTTCCTGCCTTTTGTTTAAATAATATTTGCTAATTAAATTTTAGAAGTAGAACAATTATGTTCTCTCCAACTTGCAATTAGCCCAGCACTCTAAGTTTGGCTAAAGGGATTTTATGAGGATGGAGAAATAAATTTGAGTTTATATAAGAGAAGCTTGGGAGAATTTAAAGACTTCTCTCATTCGCGTTTCCTCTGTTAGAAAAATGGTATGCAATATAGTTTTGTCTTTTCCTTTATAACAAGGTAAAAATCAGATGTAATGTATATTCCATATATGACATGACAAAGCAGAATTTTTTGATCTCTGTAGTAGTGTAAACAGATTGTGTATTTTCCTTTTAGGCAAAACACAGGAGGCAGTGGAAAGCCAGGAGTTTTTTTTTTTTTTTTAATTCTTTATTTTTGTTGTGCATTGCAAGTTTCACAGATGTACACAGACATTGCATATGATATCATGAGAGAGCATAACTTGGACAATTTAACATATGTCTGTATCACTGCACATTTTGAAATTAAATTATCAGGTTCTATATGTATCTCTTAAGCGTTAGCAAAGCAGGGTATGCACATTGATTACCTGGAAGGTTTTAAGAAAAGATATTGGTATACTGAAGGGGCTATAGTCATGCGACTGGCGAGTAGTGTGTTAGTACTGCTTAAGATGCTAATCAGTGTTAAACAGAGTGTCATGGTAACCTCCAATACATACCAAACATATTATTAAACATGTTGAATCATGTTGCTAACATTAAGTAAAGTCACCACACATTTTAAAGCATTAGACTAAGAGTCCGCTTGGGACCAGAGACTGAGTGTGTGATTATTAAGTACATAAAGTACTGATGTGTATGCGGACGCTTTTATGATACAATAGCTTAGCTAAGATAATCATTTAAGTATAGTACCACCAGGCAGGTTGTGGCATACTGGGTTATCATCTGCAATACTCAGGATATTAAAACGGATACGTACTGTAACCTTAACTGTGACATTAATAGCAGATATGTCCGTTTAGTGGTAAATACAGCCAGGGTGTCTTCTGTTAAGGCTGTCGTGATGAGTCCTATGGTGAAAGCCAGGAGTTTTACAGAGTAGATGTCTTTTTCTGGGTGCTCCATACACAGACTTCAAATGGACTGAGTATGTGTTAAAGTATCTCTGTCACCTTGAGTCACTTTATCAGTATTTCATACGAATACATTTTTTATAAAATAGGCATGTTAACTGTGCTGGAACCTCAATGAGATTTCATGCAAAGCAGGGAATAATTATCTCATGGACTAGGCCCAGGTTGCTTCAAATGTCAACTTGCACCATTAACTTCTGTTAATTCCCCAAACCAGAGCTAATGATGACTGTGGGAGTGAAACATCTTCTCATGTTTATCTATGGAGGACCCCACGGACTCTTCCACAGATCTTTGTGTTGTACTCTCAGGTATGTGTGAGAGCACAGCAGTGACAGGGCTCCTGGTTGATGAAATGCCAGAAGCTGAAGAAGGAAGATGGTGTTGCCTATGAAGGAGTGATTCGGTAATCATATCTACCATTAGCTTCCACCCAAAATATGCAAAGACCCCTGAAAGTGACAGAGCCAAGCATTCAAGCAATTACATGGTACATGAAGTCTAACAAAATCTAGGAAGGCTCTACTTTCCAATTAATAGTTTCTTAGTTCACTGTAAGCAAGTATGAGTATTTGTTTTGTGACCTTTCAGTAGTTAAATACTGGTGTTATTTGTAAGTCCGCTTTCCTACCTTACTTATAGGAAGATACATAACTTTCGTTTTCTATAAGTATCCATTTAAATATTTACAAATATTCACTAAAACACATTCCAAGAGAGATAACAGAGATGCATATGGCTGCTTGCTGACTTGGACATAATTAGTTTTTACTGAAAATCTTTGAAAACTTTCATTTTAAGGCACACAATTGTGGCCTCAAAAGAGAGGAAGGGACCTGCTGCTCATTTAGCACCTGATAGTCATATATACCCCAGACACAACAATGACAAACACCTGCTTCATTGCTGCTAAAATTAAATAAAACGCTATAGCTACAAGAGGTTATGCATCTCACCATTTTCTTTCTGTCCAATTTTTGAACTTTGATGCACAGGAAATGCCTTGCAGGATAGAACTATAAGATTATTACAGGATCTCAAGACCCATTCAGCCATTCTCTAGATAACAGTTCCACTAGTGAAAAGAGTAAATTTACCTCAAGCAGCTGTAAAACCATGTATACAGTTTTGATTCCTTTTTTTGTATATTACTGATGTCTTTACGCTAGATCTGCTGCACCAAGCTTCGATGTTAATGTGTGTACTACACTGTTTTACTGAATTTGAATATCAAAATCTTACCTTTGGATTCAATTACATTGTTGTCTCCCATCTTCATTGCTTGAGAATCTAGATTTGCAGCTAAGGTAATAATGACTTCATAATTACAAATTAATATCATTTTTCTATTTGTATATGGAAAAAAATAAAAAAACAAACTTTCATTGGGCAAAGAAAAAAAAATGGCACATGAAAACAAGGTTATTCATGCCACCAGCATTTGATTGTGATGAAAACTACCCAGTCTGGAGTGTTTAAGCCCTTAAGGTCACAACTTCTGGAATAAAAGGGAATCATGATGGAATATTTCCGTCATGTGTCCTTAAGGGGTTAATAACAAAACTACATGCAAACGACAAGTGAAGGAGACAGATGGTTTTCAGATGTTCAGTAAGACACAAAGGGGACAAATGGATGGAGGACAAAGTCTTACTATGCTATAGTTTATGTGTCCTTAAGGATTATATGGAGTGTACGTATCGGTTTCAGAAGCCAAGAGGTCAGACTGGGACACAAGCAAACACACACTTGATAATATACCATGTACATATAGAAAGGATACAACATCCAACTTCAAATACATTGTTAGTGCCGATGACCATTGTTTTTGGATCTACATCCTCTGAGTCTGGTGCAATATTTTCAGGAAAGCTGAAAGATATGTATTAAAATTTACATGTTAATTGGTTACTCTAGCCCCCATATGTTGCAAGGACCCAGTCTGTGCTACTTTAATTTTCTTAGAAAGGAAGGGTTTTATGGGATAGGAGTTTCTTCCTGCCAAAGGTATGTCTGTAACTGCAGGCAGATACACTAAACCGTACAGAGGGAACATTAAAACTGTCATTTTTTTCCTCTAATTTATTTTATTTTGCATTATTCTTAATTCATTATATTTATAGCAGTCAAAAATAGGAAATATATTTTTTATCCCATTGTTTCCCTTTAATTATATTCCTTTCTAGGATTAACCCTTTTTTTTTTTATAAATGGGTTAATCCAGCCTCTAGTGGCTGTCTCATTGACAGTCGCTAGAGGCGTTTGCGTGCTTCTCACTGTGAAAATCACAGTGAGAAGACGCCAGCGTCCATAGGAAAGCATTGTAAATGCTTTCCTATGAGACCGGCTGAATGCGCGCGCAGCTCCTGTCGCGCATGCGCATTCAGCCGAAGAGGAGGATCGGAGGCGGAGAGGAGGAGGAGAGCTCCCCGCCCGGCGCTGTAAAAAATGTAAGTTTAACCCCTTTCCTCGCTATCCAGCACGGCGGCAGTGGGACCCTGAGGGTGGGGGCACCCTCAGGGCACAATAGTGCCAGGAAAACGAGTATGTTTTCCTGGCACTATAGTGGTCCTTTAACCCCTTAAGGACGGAGCCAAATGTACACGTTGTGAACGAAACAAAATGTAAACAAAACCTGGCATTTGCGCTACATGTCTGTCCAACCGTAATTCACCTCTTTCATATTAAATACACCCACCCTTTATATATATTATTTTATTCAGGGGAAACAGGGCTTTCATTTAATATCAAATATTTAGCTATGAAACATAATTTAATATGAAACAAATGGGAGAAAATAAGATTTTATTTTATTTTTTTTAGTTCTACATGACATTTTAACGGTCAATGTCATAATACTGTTTGCTTTTACTGCAATAAAATACACATATTTGTATTTAGTAAAGTCTCACGTGTAAAACAGTACCCCCTGTGTACAGGTTGTATGGCATTTTGGGAAGTTACATGGTCAAATATAGCATGTTACATTTGAAATTGAAATCGCCAGATTGGTTACGTTGCCTTTGGGACTGTATAGTAGCCCAGGAAAGAAATTTACACCCATAATGGCATATCATTTGCAATAGTAGACAACCCAAGGTATTGCAAATGGGGTATGTCCAGTCTTTTTTAGTAGCCATTTGGTCACAAACCCTGGCCAAAGCGTTAGTATTTGTTTGTGTGTGAAAAATGCAAAAAACGCCAATTAAACTGTAGTTGTTCTGGTGACAGTGGTGTCCCTTTAAAACAAACTGCACAGAATTGCTGTGTCTGGGAATGTGCATATGTGTGCAGTGCATGTGTGTCCCCAAGAGCATGTCTGAGCTTGTGTGCCTTGGACCAGCAAAATGACATGTACATAATATTTAAATCTACTGTTATGGTAATGTTCATATTCACTGTAATTGGCTATGGGTAGATGCAATTCATCCTTTGACTTCAGTTTGTAATGATTATATCTGCAGTGTTCTGCACAATGAATTATAGGGTGTATAAAATAAGTGTCATGGGATTTCCTCTGTATCCTTACATAAAAAAGGTACATGACATGTACATAATTGTGCTTTTTAAAAAAAAAAAAAAAAAAAAAATTGTTTTCAAGAAGAATTATATGTAACCTCTCACGAAAAGCTAAATGTGAGTGGTATTTTGATTCTGGCAATTTATTAAAGAGGATCTTTCTCATTTCTTTTTTGTTGTTGATATTTTGAATGTACATTATTTACAGTAAACACTTGTAATGTATGGTAGAGTAAACATTGTTTATGTAAAGGTTTGTCAAATACCATGGATAAGGGTCCATACAAATTCAAGTAATATCTGGTGAGTGAACCAGGTAATTTATTCCACCCATGGTCATTATTAAATGCACACTTTTTCTTGCTCTCCAATAAGATCTGTTTATTGGACCATGAATGCTCTAGATCAGTGGTTCCCAACCCAGTATTTCAGGATCACCCAGTTGTAACTAAAGTGTTTAAAAAACATACAAAAAAAACTTTAGACACAACAGGGTAATCCCTCAATCCTAGACTGGTAAGGGGTACTTGAGGACTGGGTTGGGAACCCCTGCACCACATTGCTATCAGCAGGCATATTCTCAGTTTACCACAAATGGTACATTGATTTCAATATACAAGAATGTTTAAATTCCATTTCATAAGGTGGTTGTGACAAACTAAAAAAAAAAAAAAAAAAAAGTTGTTACTAATATTTAGTCACCGATAGGGGGGATGGAACACTACATGCTTAGAAAAAAAGATTCTGTTCACAGGAACAATTAAGACTATAAGATTATATGGCTTTGATATGATAAGTCTATATTCATTTTTGTGAAGTGTGATAGGCACATGAGCTAGTGTTACCCATTTCTGATAAATGCTTGCTCTTCAATGAGATTTCCTTCCCCAATGATGATTGGTCCGGCTTCTGCAAATATTCGAGCTTTAGGATGAACCACTGTTCTTGGTCCTGGATTGTGGAAACATATACACCATTTTATACAATTTTCAAATTCTAAAGCTTTTTGCTTTTGGATCTCTGAAAATGAAAAACTGTCAAAAATCCTTATTTAAAATGATACACCTTATTTAAAATGAACATGCTATTTTTACTCATGGATTTCTTGTAATGATTTAAAATGCAAGGTTTAAATGCATTACCCACTGCAATTGAATAAGTATATATTGAGAGCACACATCCCGCGGGAACTACGACTCAGCTGACAGATTGTTAGCCAATACCAAATTCTGCAAAATAGAGCTGATTTTTGAGAATATCTGGGTGCATATGAAGGAATGCAATTTTTAACATTTTATTTTAAACAGGGGACCATTTCCAGATATACGGCCTCTATGATAATATTTCAGAAAGCCATTCTTACATATCAATGTAATTTATGCAGATAAGCTACACTTACTAATTCTGCCTTATCAGCTATTCTTCTAAGTATTAAGGATATTTCCTTGCAATGACTCCCCTAGCTCCCCCACAGAAAAAAACCCCCCACAAAACTTACAGAAGTTCATAAGAGCCAATGAGCCAAGCATTGCACCGCCACCGGTTTGAGTGTTTACTCTGAAGGTGGGGGGGTTACAGTGCTTAAAGTGCCCTTTGAGGTTAATTTTCATGGACAGATTCCTAGCACCATAACTACTACAATAAACTCACGGGATTAAAATATTCCTTCATCAAAAAATGGAGCAATCTGACAGTCTTGTGTAATTTCAACATCATAACTTCCCATTGTTTGCCTTGTATAACCTTCAAACGATTAAACTCTGCCAAACATAGCTTTAAACACACTCACTGCTAAATCGTTCTTTCTTTCCTTGTTCTTTTAAATCACAGGGTGTTTCATCCCATGAACGTTTTCTCTACTACATTTGCTCTAACAGCCAATAATACACACAATCAAACACTGAGGTAACAAAATAAAACCAGAACTACAAACACAGAAAATACAGTACAGTAAAATAAAGCATTTTGCTGCAGAGCTATGAACAAAAACACAACCGTACTAAATTATGTTAATTAAAATATGTACTCACCTATAGTGACATCTCCAATAATTTCACTTTCAACACAAACTACTGCTCCAGGAGCAATCTTCACACTAACATTAAATAAACACAAAACCATGTTATTCTATTCACATTTTATAGTATCTTTAATTAAACATAGACTTTGGTATTTTTTTTTTTTTTATAGAAAACACTATGGCGTTTTTTCACAATACACTGAATTATAGTGAATTCAAAATTAAATTGCAATATTCTGTTCTTATCCCATAAACCACTGTTCGTGAGTTTATTTCGAGCTGATGTTTTAGTCACTACAGAGGATAAATGTTGGATGTCTCTCTCTGTCCTAGTTATATATGCAGCTAGTGAACAAGTTGGATGGTTCTTGCAAGATATAGTGAAAAGTAAAAAATCCTACTTTGACCTGTGAGAGCCAGGTGGAAGAATTGTAGCAATTTGCTACCATTATATCAGAAAAAAAGGGTGCAGGGTACATACTTGATCATCTTTCTTGTCTCAAATCACTGGGTGCCTAAAGATCAATGTGTTAACGGGTGTGATTACTGTGTCTGCTAGTCATATTGTAACACTGATAAAGGCAGTATCGTCTTGCCTGCATTTTTCCCCATCCTTTAACAGAAGAACAGGAAAGGTGGCATTGTCTGGATTCAATTCGTTGACTCTCAGTTTACGTGGCTCGCACCTCTAACATCATGAAGACATCATGTGTGTTTGCTGTCCCATCTGGGAACAAATTGGGCCAATCAGCTTCTTCCACTTCCATTGGTCAAAGGATTGTTTCAGCTATTTCCCAGGCAAAACGCCGCAGTGCGCCAATCAGCATCTATTCACAGAGATGCATTGAATTAATGCATCTCTATGGGAAATGTTCAGCGCTTCCATGCATACTGTGCAGCACTGACACAGGAAGCACCTTTAGTGGTCGTCAGAGTGACTGCCACTGTAGGTGTCCCCAGGCACCAATCTAAACAATTGAAAAGCCTGCAGAGACCAGCTATAAACACCAGAACCACTACATTAAACTGTAGTTGCTCTGGTGACTATAGGGTTCCTTTAATTTTTCTAATAATTTTTTTGCATCATGCTTTTATTTTTTTGGGGTCTTCATTGGTTCTTTTTCCCTTATGTCTTTAGCTTGGGTATTACATCTGGGGTGGGGGGAGAAATGTATTCCATAATCACCTTTCCTGGATATTTGCCAAGGCAGCACAACACTCTTGCCCTTACTTTGTCTTCTTGTTTTGTGGCTTTGGACTAGCCGAGGATGTAGGGGATGTAATCTCTTTTATTATTTAATTGGGAGGTGCTCCTCCTGTCCAATTTAGAAGTGGTCTATATCCAGAAAAAAGAATAAGTATGGAATAGATTTTCTCTTTTTTATCTATTAGTTTATTGGTTTATATCAATTTGCGCTAATCATGCAAACGGTGCTCATTTTTTTTTTTTAAACAATTCTCTAAGTTACCTATAGTCACAGCTTCTCTAATTTAGCCTAAGTTTTACAATTCTGTTTACAACCCAGTGTTTAGTGAACAAATCCAAAATGAATAGATATTTTATTCCTGCATACTTACCATTCACACATAAACATGTGATAGTTCATGAGGCCACTGACTTATCAATAGTTTATTATTATTATTATTTATGCATCTTTATAGATCGAAAAACATTAAATAATTACAGGGGATGACATAATATACCTGTGATTGTGCTACAGCTGGACAACAAAACCATACACAGCCAGTTAATTTGATTTAGAGATATCTGTCAGGACTGAACATGTCCAGAGAATGGTGGAAATATATCCACTTTTTGCCATCTCACCTCTTTTGCTGCCTATCCTCTTTCAGCAGGTTCGCCATGTTTGTAAGGGAGTAGTAGTGTACTCGGCTATCGACTTATCGGGTCTGAGCAGGATGTATGGCTACAGTAGCGATGGCAGGCAAGATGAGTCGCGTGGAACGCACAAGAAGAGTCGTGGAACGCAAAAAGGATTACAGGCTTCCCTGGTGTATAAGTAGTGGATGTGGCCAGACTCAGCCAGAGACGAAAGCTAAACCAAGTACACTTTCTTACGGCAAAACACCGCATAATTCATTGGTGGAGGTTGTAAATGCACACTATAAGTGAAGATCAACTATATTACTTTAAACTTGATTGTTCTTACATTCTAGAATTGTTCACTAAACTCAGAATTGTAGAGTATTAAATCTTAAATTGCAACATATAAGCACAAATAACTGATTGTGCATTTTTCTCTTTTAAACCATGGTTACAGCTAGGTTATTTTAGTACTGTAAATTAATTATTATTATTAATATTATAATTTGATTTTAATTAGGCACATGTTAGAATTTAGTGAATACATCCCATCTCGATAGAGTCAGTGTATATGAGTCTGAGCTGTTTAAATTCTCTGCCCTTGCTGTTGACTATTCAGTACCCACATACAGAGTGGATTCCATTTCTTATCAGACTGGTCAATTCATTTAGCTACCACTACTTCTTTCTCCAGGTTATTACACACCAGTGAGTCCAACACCTGTTATTGGAAAACTGAAAGCATTATTGCTGTAAAATAACAAAAACACAACCCACAATTGTTTCATTTCTAAAATGTAAATGTGTATTGGTATACAAAAGTATGTTTACATCAAAATTTCAATTTGTTAATTTTGAGGTAGTTTTGAGATCTAAGGTAATGAACTGGATTACCAGTTATATAAATTAATTTGAACTTTGTATTGATAAGGTGCCAACGACCACAGGGTAAAAACCAAAAACCAGGACTCCCTTATATAGAAAGTGACAATAAAAATCTACAGGTCCTCAGATACCATACACCAACAGGAGTGTTGCTTTCATAGCACTGTCCTTCTCTCATATCCATGGTATGACAGAGGGTAAAAGATAAAGCAACATTTCAACTTTCCAAGCTGTTGTGGGGGTTAAAAGAGTTGTAAAGACTCTAAGTCAGGGCTGTCCAAACTTTTTTCAAAGAGGGCCAGATTTGAGTAAGTGAACATGCGGAAACCCATGGCAACGCTCTCAATAACCGAAGCTCGTGGGAACAGACCACATGACGGCCCCCAGCTGGAGATGAATACAGCCTCTCCCTGGAGTCGGACAGCGGTGGCGGCGGTGCAGCTCATTCTAGGACACTACAAAGTGTACCGGAACGAGGGTGCCTGGGACCAGGGACAGACTCTCAAGTGCGGAACTGTCCCTGATGACCCGGGACACGTGGACACCCTAGAGTGCGGTAGCCTCCATTTGTGAATCATCCCAAACTGTCTGTCTGCACTCTGCACAGGATGATTAGCAGATTTCAAAGGTCCCATGGCATTAGAACTGTTCAGAGCAGAGATTTTTGGGACTTGTCATTTAGTTATCAGATTCTGTTTATAAAAGCTGTAAGTTGTTTTAGCTCCCTTGAAACAACAAAGGTAGAGTAATACTGGTACAAAACTGATTTTGTTTTTTCTAATTCAATTTTATTGAGTATCAATTACACAGGCAAGGCCTGATAAACCGTGCAGCGATAAAGAGAAGTATATAAATCAATCAGTGTGTAAAAATTAGTACACTGGAAAAAAGAAATTGATCGTACTACAGGACATTGATATGTTATTGGAGTAACTTGTACAATCAAACTACAAAGAGAAAACATAAATTAAAATGAAAAACAACAAGATAATAAAAGATAAAATAAAATGATAGTCTTTTAGACTTCGAGATCAGCTGCCATCGGTCTCTATAACCAGTGCATGAATGATCAACCCTTGGGAAACAAAGAAGGTGGAGTAAGAAAACAGAAGATAGAACTAAGTGTGAGGAGAGAGAAGAAAAAAAGGTAAAAGGAAAGAGGTAGGATGGATAGAGAAGAAATGAGAGGAGGGAAAGGGTCGGATTGCACAGGTGTCCCATGAGAACACCAAAATTCAAGCAGCACATCTCCCGGGTTCAAATCAGTTGGAAAAATCAGCTGGTAACCCAGGATAGTCTGATTCTAGAATGATGGAAGAAGTGTAGCAAGCTAAATGTGTACCTCTGTTATTTCCTGAATACTTTAGGACCAGTTCCTCAATGGAACAATTCTATAAAAAACCTTGCAATCCATTCCCTGACCGAGGAGACCAAGCCATCCCTCAAATGCACCACTATAGAACAGCGGGCTGTGTTTATGAGATGTGTTAAAAAAGATTTTTTATATTTGCTTAAGGAGTGTGGATAAAGGTGTAAGGATTTTTAGTCCCCACGCCCAAAATGCATCCTCACCTGTGTGTCTCCTAACATCCTGTAATGAAGTGCCTATACCCAGAATGGTACCTCCGTCGTAGCTCTCCCACGAGGCATTAGTGTGTTATAACTCTTGCAAACTCAAACATCAGTCAAGACTTGACTGAAGGTAAAACGACTGGTTATATTAAGGACAAACACACAGATTTATACCCAGACCACCAGCATGGGGACTCCATTAATTTTACCTTAAACCCGCCCATCCGCCTCTGTGTCTGGGAGATAAATTAGTTAGTCCTCAGTCAGGGGCGTATTAGCCGCGAGGCAAACAAGGCATTTGCCTTGGGCGGCATTTTTCAGGGGGCGGCAAAAAACGCCGCCCCCCAAATGCCCAAGGCAAATGTCTTGTTAGCCTCGCGGCTAACAGACATTCTGGGCGCTGGGCGGCAGTGGCTGCAGCGCTGGGCGGGCGGGCGGCCGGCGAGGGAGGCTGGGAGCCGGGTTGATGACGTCATATTCCGGCTCCCAGCCTCACTCTGCTGGCGGCGCGCGAGGGAGCTGAGCAGAGCGCTCAGGGGAAGAGCTCCCTCGCCGGCCGGCCGGCCGCCCTGCAGCCACTGGACCCCAGGGAGAGGAAGAACCCCCCCCAGCATTACCAAAGGTAAGGAGGCTGGGGGGGGGTTAAATAAAAAAACAAAAAAAAAACACTAGTGTGTGTGTGGAAGTCTGTTAGTGTGTATGTTAGTGTGTGTATGTATGTTAGTGTTAGTGTGTGTATGTATGTTAGTGTTAGTGTGTGTATGTATGTTAGTGTGTGTATGTATGTTAGTGTTAGTGTGTGTCTGTTAGTGTGTGTGTGTCTGTTAGTGTGTGTGTGTCTGTTAGTGTGTGTGTCTGTTAGTGTGTGTGTGTCTGTTAGTGTGTGTGTCTGTTAGTGTGTGTCTGTTAGTGTGTGTATGTTAGTGTGTGTATGTTAGTGTGTGTCTGTTAGTGTTTGTGTCTGTTAGTGTGTATGTTAGTGTTAGTGTGTGGATGTCTGTTAGTGTGTGTATGTTAGTGTGTGTGTGCATGTTAGTGTTTGTGTGTATATGTTAGTGTTAGTGTGTGTCTGTTAGTGTGTATATGTTAGTGTTAGTGTGTGTGTGTCTGTTAGTGTGGATGTCTGTTAGTGTGTGTGTTTGCCTGTTAGTGTGTGTGTGTGTGTTTGCCTGTGAGTGTGTGTGTCTGTTAGTGAGTGTGTGAGTGTGTGTCTGTTAGTGACTGTGTGTTTCTGTTAGCTAGTGAATGCGTATCTGTCAGTGAATGTGTGTGTATTTAGAAGGCGGAGCAGGGGGGAAGGTTGGGTGGCGGTTGCGCGGGTGGGGGTGGCGCGGGGGGGTGCCTGAGTTTTGTCCTGCCTAGGGCAGCACAAAACCAGGATACACCACTGTCCTCAGTTAATCTTATGATCTCCGCATACAGAGGTCACAACACCAATTACTTCTGAAACATACATTAAACCACAATGTAACACCAGATGTTATATAAGAAAGGTCTATTCAGAGCGCCCATTTTGTGAAAATAGCATTCGCATCCATGGGGTATTGTCCAAACACAACTGTATCAAAGTTTTGACTGACTGCTGTAACGGGTCTGGCCGGAAAGAGTTCCATGCGATTGAGGCTATTCGCCGGCGATTTACCGGGAGCTAGGTCTCCACGTAGCAAGGGAGCTCGTGATAGTTATAGGGAGTGATTGTCTGTCCAGAGGGGTAGTCCCCTCCCTCCAATGAGGCCTTCCTAGGCCTTGGTAAGCTGAGGAAAAACGAGGGAAAAAAGGGCCGGTACAATGTGCTGAGTGTGGCTGAGCCAGAGTTCCAGAGCAAACCTCGGTAACTCCTGCTGATAGTGCCTAGATACTCTGGCTCTTTGGGAAATAATTTCTTATCCCTTTTTGCCTCTTATGTGTTTCTTACACATTCTTTTAAATATCTTACCACATTTAGTGTATCTTATCAGTGGTGGAACTACCACCAGTGCAGTTGGGGCTCCTGCACCGGGTCCCGCATGCTGAAGGGGCTCATCGGGTGGCTCTAACTGATTGGTAATGTATGTCAGGGGCTGCGTCCATGGTCGTCTAGAGAGGGGATAAGGAGGGGCAGTAGCCCCCCCTGGATTTTCCAACTTACCCCCTCCCCGCTGGCTGGCCTACTGATATACCTGTGCCTTTTAAATAATTTTCCCTCTTGCTGTGACAGCTTGTTACAGTCCAAGGGAAAGAAGGTGGGAGGTGCTGGAGGGAGATTTAGGGGCTGGTGCGGCCCCATTTAGCTGCCAGGTGTCTGTAGGGAGCACTGTGAGGCCTGCACACCACCCCCACCCCCACCCCCACACAAGCTCTGCCCCCACACTCTTGCTGCTGACCTTGCTGGAAGGAAGAGGCCAGAAAATGGAGACTTCACCTCCCAGTGATCCCAGATCCTTCTGTGACAGGTAGGCTTCAGCCCGTGATTGTGTGTGTGTGTGTGTCAGTGAGCTTGGCTGTAAGTGAGCATGTGTGTGTGTCATTGAGCCTGTGTGTGTGTCAGTGAGCTTGTCTGTAGGGAGTATGTATGTGTCAGTAAATTTGTCTGTAGTGAGCATGTGTGTGTCAGTGAGCTTGTCTGCAGTTAGCGTGTGTGTGACAGTAAGCTTGCCTGTAGTAAGTTTGTGTTTGTATACCAATGAGTTTGACTGTAGTAACCTTGTGTGAGTATGAGAAAACAAGGCTGCACTCACCTAAACATGCTTAAATGGGGTGCTGCTGGGGGCCAATAAGTACAGTAAAAATGAAAATCCAGCGCACTCCCTTATCTGCTAAACAGCTATTTTGCTAGTTTTATTACAAACACCTAATCTAGGCAAAAAACAATGGGGGTTTAGTTACATTATATGATCATACATTGCATAAGCCTGCCACAACGTCAATGTACCCCATCTTTGGCAGGTCCTACTTTAACAGTCAACTGTCTCCTAAATGAGCTACTCACTTGGGGAAATCCTTCCATCTCGAGTTCTCTGCAGTACAAGGCTTAAATAGGGTCCTGAGGGGAGACACTTGTGACAGGGAGGGTTGCAAACCCATGGAGCTGGCTAGACTCCTATATATATATATATATATATATATATATATATATATATATATATACATATATATGAGAAAACAAGGAACCTTGTGTGAGTGTCAGTGAGAAAAATGACTGGGGCATAGCAATACCAGGGTACTCTTTATATAGAAAAAACTGGGAAGGCAAGAAAGGAGGAGGGGTGGCCCTGTATGTGAAGGATAGCATAAAATCTAGCCTAATAAAAGTTAGTGAGGCAAACATAAAGTCTGTTTGGCTTACGTTAGAATTTGGGAATCACACAGTAACTCGCGTAGGTGTGATTTATAGGCCTCCAGGACAGATAGAAGAGTTAGATAATCTACTAGACATGTGCAATTCGTTTTGGGCTGAATATGAATTTGGACGAATTTCGGACATTTGGGTACTTCTTAATGTCCGAAGTGCCGAATTACAGAGGTCTCGAAATTACCGAATTTCCGAAGTGCTGAAGTTCTGAAGTTGCCGAATTGCCGAAGTTCCAAAGCACAGTATTGCCTAAGTACTAATATACTTACCAAGTGGAAGAAGAAGAATGTTACACTGTATACAATTTTAAATAAAAAGTATACAAACGTAGCCAGGATTCAGCTGTAAGCATTTACAACAGTTACAACAATTAAGTAACACACATTTATATAAAATGTAAGTTACTTGGCCAGTCAATGTAATGACAGGAATGAATAAGTAGATAACTCCCTAATTCCCACGGTATTAGGGAGCTATCTACTAAAAGGCTGAAAGACCTAAATTGGTCTTTAAGACAAATGTACTAATACTAAGTAAAGATTACTTAGTATTAGTAAATTATGCCCCTACTCGCTATACCGCAAGTAGGGGCATGTCTATTAAGCCTGTGGCTGCTCACTGTAAAAAACAACCAACCAAAAAAACAAC